TGGAGCTCAAGTAACCTTGAGGTCCTCAGGTCCTTGGACTAGCCGGCACTAACATTTCTCCTGGTTAGTGTGGGCAAGTCCTGCTCTCACAGCTGGATATGGGCATAAGTGAGCAGCTCTTGCATCCTTCAGGAAGGCGAGTTGGAAGGGGAAGCAAAAGCAGGAACGTTGCCCACCAAAGCAAGGCACCATGATCAGAAGTTGAACCACAAGGGATCCAGCCAATTGTCAGCCACGGCTTCGTGGTCTGAGACAGTGGTAGGATGATTTATAGATACTTGCTTGCCTGCCTATGCCCAGTAATACAGAAACTAATTTAGAGGGTGCCTGGACAGCCGTGCCAGCTTTTAAGGAACAATTTAATATATCAGAGCCATGCTTGTTTCTTGAGAGCTCAATGGTGTTACAGTTTCCTTAAAGTCTTCAGGCCCGACGGCTTCTCTCACCAGCTGTGGCAGGAACTTCTCATGCTGGACACCCTTTCATGCAAAGAAAACTGCAAGCAGGAGCCTGAGGCACCACCAGGAAGCCTTCCCATGCTGCAGTTTCCTGCCCTTTGACTGACGTGGACACTGACTGCCATGTGGTAGCACAGGAGGATGTAGGAGAACCCTCCTCTCCAGCTGTGGAATCCAGTTGTTTTTGTTCAGCCTACAGTATAACTCAGTTGACGAAATCCTTTGCATAGAAATCTAATAAATGTTAACAATACTGTGCAAAATGAAAAGTTAAGGAACAAACCTGTGTTGAAGCACGTTCTGTGTTTTCATTATCAAAGAGGTGGGAATGATTGCTGTTCTTGTTAAAATGTGAAACAGCATGTTTCAGGAATTCTTTCACTTTGGGGTCCTCTGTTGATATGGTGTACTTGCAATCAGGGCAACTGTGCTGGAAAATCACCGCAGGTCCCTCCGCTTGACAATGAGAGGCAAAACAAGAGGCAATGTTACCGAGAGAAACCAGCATTCAGCTATATTGCCCCACATAAGTCAGACAATCTTGAGGTCCTCATAAACAAACTTCACCATAAGCCCAGGTATGAATTATAAAAAGAAAACACAGAGGTGAAAAACACTACCATTGCTTTGGGAGCTTCTTACATAGGACAACATTGTGCACTACTATTTCATGTTCATTTTAAAGTTCTTTAATTATAGAATATGTGAATTTATCCTTTATAAGAAATTAAAGCCTTGCAGATTTTATTTCAGTGTTAAGTAAAGCCCTCTGAAGTC